GTTCACACCTCATCGCACGGCGGGCGAGCAGCAGCAGCGCCTGATCACAGCAGTGGGTGTGAAGAGACGCTGTTCACACCTCATCGTACGGCGGGCGAGCAGCAGCAGCGCCTATTCACAGCAGTGGGTGTGAAGAGACGCTGTTCACACCTCATCGTACGGCGGGCGAGCAGCAGCAGCGCCTATTCACAGCAGTGGGTGTGAAGAGACGCTGTTCACACCTCATCGTACGGCGGGCGAGCAGCAGCAGCGCCTATTCACAGCAGTGGGTGTGAAGAGACGCTGTTCACACCTCATCGCACGGCGGGCGAGCAGCAGCAGCGCCTATTCACAGCAGTGGGTGTGAAGAGACGCTGTTCACACCTCATCGCACGGCGGGCGAGCAGCAGCAGCGCCTATTCACAGCAGTGGGTGTGAAGAGACGCTGTTCACACCTCATCGTACGGCGGGCGAGCAGCAGCAGCGCCGCGCGGTAAAACTCTGCCGCGGGACCCAGCACCTTGGGGGGAGATGTGGGGAGATGTGGGGAGGTGTGGCGAGGTGTGGCGAGGTGTGGCGAGGTGTGGCGAGGTGTGGGGAGGTGTGGGGAGGTGTGGGGAGATGTGGGGAGGTGTGGGGAGGTGTGGGGAGGTGTGGGGAGATGTGGGGAGATGTGGGGAGGTGTGGCGAGGTGTGGGGAGGTGTGGGGAGGTGTGGGGAGGTGTGGGGAGGTGTGGGGAGGTGTGGGGAGATGTGGGGAGGTGTGGGGAGATGTGGGGAGGTGTGGGGAGGTAAAGCTCCGCCGCCGGACCAAGCACTTCGCAGTAGCCGGGCTGCAGTAGCGGGCTGGCGGAGTGTCGGTTGTGAGTGTGTGTGGCCTTCGCTGCAGCGTGCCGCCATCTCCGGTCCCGCGGGTCCCCCCCGCGCCGCGCCGGTGTCCAGCCCGAGCCTCTGGCTGCTCTTCCCCGCTCTATCCGGATGTGTGGCCGCCACCGACGGCGACGCCGCACATCCGTGTAGGTGTTTAGGTGCACGTCGGCCTCTCGTGCCGTGCGCAGGAAGAGAGAGGCGCTGCCAGAAGCTCGCGCGGGCGAAGTGGTAGAAAGATCGTTGGGGAGCGCCAGCGCTGGCCACCCAGCTGGCAGGAGAGTCTTGTGTGTAGTCCTGTGTGTGTGTGTGCACATACACACGCACCTTGTAGTAGCCGGCGCGTGCGCGGTAGAAGGCCGCCTGCGCGCGGGCGAGGCGGGCGGGGCGGGGCGGGTCGGGGAAGCGCCGCGGCGGGGAAGCGCCGCGGTGGGGAAGCGCCGCGGTGGGCGGGGAGGCTGGGGAAGGGAGGAGGGAGTAGCAGCGGCCGGTATGAGAGAAGACGAGAGGGAAACGGCGGCGGAGGGAGGGGGCGGCGGCGGCGAGGCAAGGCGGCGGCGGCGGGGAGGGTGCTCCGCGGCGGGGAGGGGGGCGGCGGGCAGTGGGGTGGGGCGGGGGAGAAAGGCAGCAAAGGAGGTAGGGAGGCGGCGGCGGCGGCGGCGGTGCGGCGGCGCCTGCACTTCGGGCGTCACCCCAGCAGCGCCCTCAATCTTCGCGGCGGCGGCGTCCAGCTTCTCCTTCGCGGCCTCCTGCTTGCCGAAGCGCAGCAGCATGCGCGACAGCTCGCACAGCACGAAGGCGCCGCTCTCCAGTTCGCCGGCGTGGTCGGCCAGCGCCGCCTCGGCGAACGCTGACACCTCGTCGGCGTCGGCGCACTTGTTGAGTGCGACGGCGACCTGGATGCGGGCAAGGGCGAGCTTGTTGAGCTTGTGCTTGAAGTCGCTCACGAACGTCTCGTACAGCCCGCCCAGCTGCGCCGCCGCCGCCTCCTCTCCGAGGTGCTCCTCGAGCAGTACCGTGAGCTGGTGCCACAGCTTGCGCTTGTACAGCTCCTCCATGCGCGCATAGTTGGGCGCGAGCGAGGGCGCCGCCTCGCCGCACGACTGCAGGAAGGCGACGATCGATTGCGACTTGGCGTCCATTGCGCGCGATGTTAAAGGGGCGAGACAGCGCGCTTGGCCTCAGAAAAAGAATTTTACAACAAAACTCCCTCGCACGACACTGGGCACAGGACTGGGCACGGGACTGGCAGAAAAAGAATTTGGTCGGGAAATCCTAGGCCTTGGGTTGTCTGTTTTCTTTCTTTTTCTTGATGAGGCTGCGAAGGGCGAGGGGGGGTGGAAGGGGGTGGGCCGTGCTGTGCCACCTGCCTCGTTCCATCTAACCATATGTTGCGAATTGCGTATCGGCGGCTCAGCGGCGGCGCCTGAGCGCGGGAGGGGGCGGGGAGGGTACCCGTCACCGTCTGGTGGTGCGGGGCGACGGGCCCGGCCCGAGGGAGCCGCGTCGAGGCCGACCTCGGGGCGCGAGAGGCCTCCCACGGCCGAACCGCACGCCCCCCGGAACGCGCGGTTCGCCGTTCGTGGGCCGGCGCGTCGGAGACGCGCGCGACGGCGCCCCGCGCCGCTACCCGCAAGCGCAGCCGCACCCAGGCACCGGGTGCACTCATTAGACAGCTTAATGCACATAAAAATAGTGAACAGCGGCGGAAGCGACACCGAGACCGCGCCTCGGAGGAGAGTGACCAGAGACACCTCACACGACCCCACACACGGTCTAGTCCGGCCTCGCGGTCGGCGGAGATTGCTAGAGGCCGAGCAAGCCTGCTCTAGCCTCACGCGTTAGCCCCTGTTGTCTGTTGTTTGTTGTGCCCTTGTTTGTTCTCTTGGTACCTTGGAGTGCTGGGGGGGGCGACAGGGAGAATGTGGCCCTGAGTTATGTGTACGCCAACTCAGGGTGTGTGGCAGCCAGCTGGCTGTGTGTCTTGTGAGCCCTTAGGGGACCCCTAGGCTTAAAAGGGTGGGCCCTGGGGCGCCTGCGGCTTAAACGGCTTAAAACTTGCCATGGCAAGTTTTAAGAGCTGCTGGGCTGCCAATTCCTTAAACGGTCTTAAACGCTTAAACGGTGCGGGAGAGCTCCCGAGGTCGATGGTCCGGGAGGCTCCCAGTAGACAAGCCGGAGGCCGGGAAGCTGGCTACAGTCAGCTAGCACGTCCCCTATGCGAGTATGGCTCCTGCCAGTGCACCAGACTTACAGATGTGTCTTCAGAGCCGAATAACGGCAGTATTGAAGAAAACGGCGCGGAACCCAGCGACGCGTGCCGGCGAGGCCGATTTTCTTAAACGGTCTCTTAAAAGAGGACCCCCCGTGCCTGCAATCTCTTAAATGGCAAGTTAAGCCCCCAAACCTCCTCATTTCTTTAAAAGGTCTTAAAAAATCCGGCCCTCAGGACCCTAGGGGTCCCCTAAGTGTGAGCCTGTCGTGTTTGTGTCTGTGTGTCGCTCGTGCGTGTCGTGTCATCATCTGTCCCGCGTCCACCCATACCGCGTTGGTGTCCAGTCCGAGCCTGACTGTTGTTCATCTTTCTACATACATCATGATAGCCGATCCGCAGACGAGATCACAGGTTCACAGCGCGGCGCCAATGCTGCGCTGCGTACGAAAGGCCCCTACTGCGTCTCGCGCGTGATGGCGAAGCCCAAGACGCAGTGGCCAAAGTCGAGCGCCGCGATGCCGTTCGTGGCTCCTGCCGAGTCGAGGTGGTACCGCTCGTGGATCTCGTAGAGCGAGAGGACGAGGAGCGCCGCCCGCGCGCGAGCCGCCGCGGGGAAGAGCGAGTGGCTTGCCGGCGACCACGGCGCCGCCGCCCGCCGGACCAGCGCCGCCGCCTCGCCCTCGCTGCCCGCTGCGCGCCGCAGCGGCGTCGGCTCGCCCTCGTGCAAGCTTGCGCCGCTGCGCAGAAGGGAGGTGGCGCGGGCGGCGGTGAGGGTCTCAAGGTGCGCGAGCGGCGTCCAGCCGCGGCTGGCGACCAGCCAGGCGGCGAGATCGGTGTGGCCTTGGCTGTTTGCGGCCTCCTCGGGCGTGCCGAAGGGCGTAGCGGCGCGGGAGGCGCCGTAGGAGGAGAGGAGCTTGGCGACCTCGAGGTGGCCGCTGAAGCATGCCATGATCAGCGGCGTGGCGCCTTGCTCATCGGCCTGGTCGATCGCCGCGCCAGCCTCGAGGAGCAGCCGAACGCACTCGAGCTGGCCGTTCTCGCACGCGATGAACAGCGGCGTGGCGCCGTTCTGCTTGGCTTGGTTGACCGCCGCGCCAGCCTCGAGGAGCAGCCGGACGCACTCGGGGTGGCCCTCCTGGCACGCCATGAACAGTGGCGTGGCGCCGCCGATCATCGCTTGGTTGATGTCAGCGCCAGCGTCGCGCAGCAGCCGCACGCACTCGAGGTGGCCGTTCTGGCACGCAATGTACAGCGGCGTGACGCCGTCCTTGTCGGCCTGGCCGACTGAAGCGCTGGCCTCGAGAAGCAGCTGGACGCACTCGAAATGCCCCTCCTGGCACGCAACGTACAGCGGCGTGAAGCCTTCAGCGTCTGCTTGGTCGACCGCCGCGCCAGCCTCGAGGAGCAGCCGGGCGCATTCGATCTCGCCAGCCAAGCTCGCAGCACTCAGCGGGGTGGTGCCATCGTTCATCGCTTGGTCGGTCGCCGCGCCAACCTCGAGGAGCAGCTTGGCGACCTCGAGGTGCCCCCCCTGGCACGCAACGAACAGCGGCGTGGCGCCGTTCTGCTTGGCTTGGTCGGCCGCCGCGCCAGCCTCGAGGAGCAGCCGAACGCACTCGAGCTGGCCGTTCTCGCACGCGATGAACAGCGGCGTGGCGCCGTTCTGCTTGGCTTGGTTGACCGCCGCGCCAGCCTCGAGGAGCAGCCGGACGCACTCGGGGTGGCCCTCCTGGCACGCCATGAACAGCGGCGTGACGCCGTCCTTGTCGGCCTGGTCGACTGAAGCGCTGGCCTCGAGAAGCAGCTGGACGCACTCGAAATGCCCCTCCTGGCACGCAACGTACAGCGGCGTGAAGCCTTCAGCGTCTGCTTGGTTGACCGCCGCGCCAGCCTCGAGGAGCAGCCGGACGCATTCGAGCTCGCCGTTGAAGCTCGCAGCGCTCAGCGGCGTTGTACCGTCGTCCATGGGTTGCTCTATCGCCGCGCCCGTCTCGAGAAGGAGCCTGACGCACTCGAGCTGGCCCTCCTGGCTCGCGATGAACAGCGGCGTGACGCCGCCGTCAGCAGCTCGGTTGACCGCTGCGCCAGCCTCGAGGAGCAGCCTGGCGCAGTCGACGTGGCCCCCCTCGCTCGCGAGGAGGAGCGCGGTGGCACCGCCGCTGTCAGCCGCCCCGACGCCCGCGCCGCCCTCGAGCAGCAGCCGCGCCGCCTCGGCCTGCCCGTGCCGAGCGGCCCAGGTGAGCAGCGTGTCCTGCGTGCCGGTGTCGTGCCGCGCGTCGAGCTGGGCCGCGAGCGACGTGCCGCGCGTCCGCCGCCCGGAGAGTAAAGCGTGCAGCCATGCCAGGTCGCCCCGAGCCAGGTCGGCGAGCTGGGAAAGGCTCATTTACATGCGTATTTGCCGCCAGAAAAAAGAATTCAAGCAGAAACTCTCTCACAAGAACAAAAAACCAGCGTGTCCGTTGTATTTATTTATTTATTACAAAAAACCAGGGAGGATATTCTTCCCCCATCTCTCGTCTGGGTTTGTCTGTTTTCTTTCTTTCTTTGTACCGAAAAGAACAACGAAAAGAAATCGTGGGGTGGGGGGGGAGGTGTGCTGTGACCCCAAAGGGGTGCGTGTGTGTGGCAAACAACTACGCCCAGCCACCACCCGCCAGCGACGAAACAAAACAAAAGAACAGCGAAAAGAAATCGCTCGGGCAGTGGGGGGGGGGGGGCTGCTCTGTCTCCAAAGGGGTGCGCGGGTGGCAGACAAAGCCCAGCCACCAGCCAGCGACGGCAAGCAAGCGAGCGCCGCGACGTGTTCGCCGTGAGCCCGTGACAGTGTGTCTCGCTCGCGCCTTGCGCGCGCCTCGGTCCGGGGAGAGGGGGGCGGGGGGGGGGATCGGAGCAGCGTGCTCACTCGTGTCCCGGCGTATGGGGTAGGCTGGAGAGGTGGACCGGACCTGCCGGCCGTGTTGTGTGTTCACGCTCAACTGCTGGGTGAAACGAAAGTCGGCGGAAAGAATTTTGCCGTCGAACTACACCAAGTACCGCGGACGGAGTTGCGCCGAAAGGCGAAAGAAGCCGCGAGAACAAGGGACCGGCAGGCGGCGGCGTCGCAGGACGAGGCAGAAGAGAACGACGCGACAGAGGAGGAAATGACAAGGGAGAGAACGACGAGAGTGGGACGACCGCGAGGTGGCATGAAGGTTGCAGCGTCCAGCGAGAAGCGGCGAGATAAGAATTTTACGCGTGTCGGTGTTTTCTTTGCCGAGGAGAGCGCGAGCGATGAGTCAGGGGAAGAGACAGCAGGAGAGAGAACGACGAGAGTGGGAAGAACGCGAGGTGGCATGAAGGTCGCTGCGAGAATTGGTGAGAAACTGCGGAGAGAGATAGGAAGTGGTAGACGCCCGAGCGCCGAGGGTGGGCGACGGCTAACACCACACTTCTTCCCCTAAAATCCCCTGTGTGGTGGCGGCGTACCGTCCTCCCATCCCTCCCTTGGGTTGTCTGTTTTCTTTCTTTTTTTGTTTTCTTTGCTTCTAGTCTCTACTAGCACCGACTACTAAGCTAGGTTAATCAGATGGCAGATTTGGAGAGATCTCGAGGAGTACCAGAGACCTCAATAAAAAGTTTAGCGCGATCGCGGACCGGGACGGGTCCCTTATAACGGCGCGCCCCCCCGCGCGGTGTAACTAAGCGGCCCAGGCCCGGCCCAGGGACCGAACTAGGTAACCTTACCTTAATGGCAAAGCACACCACAGAGCTCACGCTTCATAGCTCCCGGGCCTGGATGTGAGGCTAATGACCGCACTCCACATACCACAACCAAGTGCGTATGTCCCAAGTGCGCTGCTTTGTTTTACTTCGAGCAATTTCGGTGGCACAGGACGCGGCACGTAGGAACTCGACCGCTCTCTCCCAGGCAACGCGCAGCGGTCGACAACTTGAATCACGACACCACCCG